GATTTACCAAGCAAATGGAGAGGAAAACAAAAAGGAGGGGTTGCAATCCTAGTCTCTGATAAAATGCACTTTAAACCAACAAAGATCAAAAGAGACAAAGAAGGGCATTACATAATGGTAAAAGGATCAATGCAACAAGAAGAGCTAACTGTCCTAAATATATATGCACCCAATACAGGAGCACCCAGATATATAAAGCAAGTTCTTAATGACTTACAAAGAGACTTAGACTCCCACACAATAATAGTGGAAGACATTAACACTCCACTGTCAATGTTAGATCAACAAGACAGAAGATTAACAAGGATATCCAGGACTTGAACTTGGATCTGGACCAAGTGGAACCAGTAGACATCTACAGAACTCTGCACACCAAATCCACAGAATATACATTCTTCTCAGCACCACAGCGCACTTACTCTAAAATTGACCACATAATTGGAAGTAAATCACTCCTTAGCAAATGCAAAAGAACAGAAATAATAACAAACAGTCTCAGACCACAGTGCAATCAAATTAGAACTCAGGATTAAGAAACTCACTCAAAACTACACAACTACACAGAAGCAGAACAGCCTGTTCCTGAATGACTACTGGATAAATAATGAAATGAAGGCAGAAATAAAGATGTTCTTTAAAACTAATGAGACCAAAAATACAACATACCAGAATCTCTGGGACACATTTAAAGCAGGGTCTAGAGGGAAATTTATAGCACTACATGCCCACATGAGAAGTGAGGAAAGATCTAAAATTGACACCCTGTCATCACAATTAAAAGAGCTAGAGGAACAAGATCAAACAAATTCAAAAGCTAGCAGAAGACAAGAAATAACTAAGATCAGAGCAGAACTGAAGGAGATAAAGACACAAAAACCCCATCAAAAATTCAAAAAATCCAGGAGCTAATTTTTTAAGAAGATCAACAAAATAGTTAGACAGCTAGTCAGACTAATAGAAAAGAGAGAAGAATCAAATAAAAGCAATAAAAAAGGATAAAGGGGATATCACCATAGATTCCACAGAAATACAAAGTACCATCAGAGATTACTACAAACACCTCTATGTACATAAACAAGTAAATCTAGAAGAAACAGATAAATTCCTGGACACTTACACCCTCCCAAGTCTAAACCAAGAAGAAATTGAATCCCTGAATAGACCAATAACAAGGTCTGAAGTTGAGGCAGCAATTAATAGCCTACCAACCAAAAAAAAACCCAGGTCGAGATGAGTTCACAGCTGAATTCTACCAGATGTACAAAGAGTAGCTGGTAACATTACTTCTGAAACTATTCCAAAGAATACAAAAAGGGGGAAGCCTCCCTAACTCATTTTATGAGACCAACATCATCTTGATACCAAAACCTGACAGAGACAGAACTAAAAAAGAAAATTTCAGGCCAATATCCATGATGAACATCCATGCAAAAATCTTCAATAAAATACTGGCAAACCGAATGCAATAGCACATCAAAAAGCTTATTCATCATGATAAAGTTGGCTTCATCCTGGGGATGGAAGGCTGGTTGAACAGACGCAAATCTATAAACGTAATCCATCACATAAAACCAAAGACAAAAATCACATGATTATCTCAATAGATGCAGAGAAGGCCTTTGACAAAATTCAACAGCCCCATTATGCTAAAAACTTTGAATAAACTAGATATTGATGGAGCATATCTTAAAATAATAAAAGCTATTTATGACAAACCCACAGCCAATATCATACTGACTGGGCAAAAACTGGAAGCATTCCTTTTGGAAACTGGCACTAGACAAAAGTGCCCTCTCTCACCACTCCTATTCAACATAGTATTGGAAGTTCTAGCCAGGGCACTCAGGCAAGAAAAAGAAATAAAGAGTATTCAATTAGGAAAAGAGGAAGTCAAATTGTCTCTTATTTGCAGATGACATGATTGTATATTTAGAAGATTCCATCGTTTCAGCCCAAAATCTCCATAAGATGATAAGCATCTTGAGCAAAATCTCAGGATACAAAATCAGTGTGCAGAAATCACAAGCATTCCTATATGCCAATAACAGACAAACAGAGAGCAAATCATGAGCGAACTCCCATTTGCAATTGGTACAAAGAGAATAAAATACCTAGAAATACAACTAACAAAGGACATGAAGGACCTCTTCAAGGAGAACTACAAACCACTGCTCAAGGAAATAAGAGGAAACAAACAGATAGAAAATCATTCCATGCTCATGGTTAGGAAGAATCAATATCGTGACAGCGGCCATACTGCCCAAAGTAATTTATAGATTCAATGCTATCCCATCAAGCTACTATTGACCTTCTTCACAGAACCGGAAAAAAAACACCTTAAACTTTATATGGAACCAAAAAAGAGCCAACATAGCCACAACAATCCTAAGCAAAGAAAACAAAGCCGGAGGCATCACACTACCTGACTTCAAACTATATTACAAGGCTACAGTAATCAAAACAGCATGATACCAGTACCAAAGTGGAGATACAGACCAATGGAACAGAACAGAGACCTCAGAAGTAACATCACACATCTACAACCATCTGATCTTTGACAAACGTCACAAAAACAAGCAATGGGGAAAGGATTCCCTGTTTAATAAATGGTGTTGGGAAAACTGACTAGCCATGTGCAGAAAGCTGAAACTGGACCCCTTCTTTACAAAAATTAACTCCAGATAGATTAAAGATTTAAACTTAAGTCCTAATAGCATAAAAACCCTACAAGAAAACCAAGGCAATACCATTCAGGACATAGGCATAGGCAAGGACTTCATGACGAAAACACCAAAAGCAATGACAACAAAAGCCAAAATAGACAATGGGATTTAATTAAACCAAAGAGCTTCTGCACCGCAAACGAAACAATCATGAGAGTGAACCAGCAATCAACACAATGGGAAAAATTTTTGCAAGCTACCCATCTGACAAAGGGCTAATATCCAGAATCTACAAAGAACTAAAACATATATGCAAGAATAAAACCAACAACCCCATCCAAAAGTTGGCAAAGGATACAAACAGACACTTTTCGAAAGAAGACATTTATGCAGCCAACAAACATATGAAAAAAATGTTCATCATCACTGGTCATTAGAGAAATGCAAATCAAAACCACATTGAGATGCCATCTCAGGCCAGTTAGAATGGTGATCATTAAAAAATCTGGAGATCACCTTAAACTTACATTTGGAACCAAAAAGAGCCCACATAGCCAAGACATCTCCACCAGATGTTGGAGAGGATGTGGAGAAATAAGAACGCTTTTACATTGTTGGTTGGAGTGTAAATTAGTGTGGCAATTCCTCAGGGATCTAGAACTAGAAATACCATTTGACCCAGAAATCCCATTACTGGGTATATACCCAAAGGATTATAAATAGTTCTATTATAAAGACACATGCACATGGATGTTCATTGTAGCACTGTTTGCAATAGCAAAGACCTGGAACCAACCCAAATGCCCATCAATGATAGACTGGATAAAGAAAATGTGGCACATATATACCATGAAACACTATGCAGCTGTAAAACAGGATGAGTTCATGTCCTTTGCAGGGACATGGATGAATCTGGAAGCCATTATTCTCAGCAAACTGACACAAGAACACAAAACCAAACACCACATGTTCTCGCTCATAAGTGGTGTTGAACAATGAGAACACATGGATGTAGGGAGGGGAACATCACACACTGGGGTCTGTTGGGGGTGGGAGGCTAGGGGAGGGATAATGGGGTGGGGAAATTGGGGAGGGATAACATTAGGAGAAATACCTAATGTAGGTGACTTGGGGATGGAGGCAGCAAACCATCATGGCAGTGTATACCTATGTAACAGTCCTGCAAGATCTGCACATGTACCCCAGAACTTAAAGTAAAAATTTTTTTTTAAATGTCATTATGAAAAAAATGAAACCACCCACATGTTCTACTCACCTCCCACCAGACCCACCCCCATCTCAATTCAATGTAAGATATGGGGCTGGGCGCGGTGGCTCAAGCCTATAACCCCAGCACGTTGGGAGGCCGAGGCAGGTCAAGAGATCGAGACCATCCTGCTCAACATGGTGAAACCTCATCTCTCCTAAAAATACAAAAAAAAATTAGCTGGGCATGGTGGCATGAGCCTGTAGTCCCAGCTACTTGGGAGGCTGAGGCAGGAGAATTGCTTGAACCCAAGAGGTGGAGGTTGCAGTGAGCCAAGATCACACCATTGCATTCCAGCCTGGGTAACAAGAGCGAAACTCCGTCTCAAAAAAAAAAAAAAAAAATTTGGGTCGGGACACAGAGCCAAACCATATCAGCCAGCATGGTCAGATTCTGATGAGGGTCCTGTCTTGGTTTACAGACAGCTGTCTGCTCTTTGTATCCTCAGATGGCAAGGAAAAAGAGAGAGAAAACAAAGTCTCTCAAAGCTCTTCTTATAAGGGCACTCATGAAAGCTTCACTCTCATGACTTAATTACCTCCGAAAGGCCTCACTTCATAATGCTGTCAGACTGGGGTTTAGGCTTGACATATGCGTTTGTTGGGAGGGACATAAACATTCAGTCCTTAACAGTCACTAAATAAGTTCAAGCCCCATTCTCTTAAAAAAAAAAAAAAAAAACAGAACAAATTTGGCAACTGAGTGAATGAAGGAAATAATATTTCTATTTCTTTGTGTCAAGAAATAGAAAGGAACTACTGGCTAATGCAAAAAAAGTTGTTTGAAATTCCCTTATTAGTAATAAGTATTTGTTAGAATAAGAGAGACTTTACTTACATTTTTAACAATGCGACAAATTCTGTATTTTCCTAGTCAAAATTAGAGATGGTAAAAAATTCAACATAAGTGATTTGACACCTTTTTGTTGTTGTTGTTTTCCCTAATCAGTAAGGAATGGACTGACTTTTTTATTTTCTCAGAATGAAAATGTACAAATGAAAAAAGTCTTCCTCGTTTTATTTTAAAATGAATAATATTTTTAATATGTTTGTTTCCCTACTTTTTAAAAGGAATTTAGAGCAAAGTCAAGAGAATGGGACAAGCAAGAGATACTATATCAGACTCATCTGATTTCTTTAGATGCTCAACAAAAATTATTATCTGAGAAGTGTAATCAGTTTCAGGTAAGTTATTTAATACTAGAAGTTTAAATCAGAAGAAAGTGGAGGTTAGATATTTGTATCTTTATCATTCAGCATGTAATCTATTTACAAATAGAAATGCCAACCAAAAAAAGTAACCAAAGTAGGTCCAAAGGTGGGTACAGTCATAAGTGCATAGAATATCTGTTAATGTTGAATTTAGTCTACGTGTCTCAAAGGATGGAGCTATTTAAAATTCCATTGTTATTGTGTCATTAAATAGCATATGTTTTTGTATGCCTACAGGCAAGGCACTCAGTCTAAGATTGCTTGCTTTACTTTGTATTTCTCTGGCTACTTTAAGACTGAGCATCTCCACATATGATTTTTAGCTTTTCTCAGGTATTTCTGTGAATTGCCTATTGATAAACTTTGCCCATTTTTCTTTTGTGCTGTTTGCTCTTTTCTTATTGATGTGTAGAAGTGTTTGTACATTAGGACTTATTAATTCTATTGATGTGTAGAAGTGTTTGTACATTAGGACTTATTAATTCTATTACATGCACTGACAACTTTTCCCCTACAATTGAATTTTTTAATTTATTTATTTTTGGTTATAGAGACTTTTTTCAACCATTGTATAATTGAATTCATATTTTTCTTTTTCCACCTTCTAGATTTTTTTCTTGCTTAATATGGCTTTTCTATCACTAACCCACTTCCCTACTCTACATCTTTACTCTGAGGTTATACAAACATATTTTCTCTTTATGCCATCTGAAATTGAAATTTGAAAACAAATACAAGACGGAAATAACAAAGGACCAACTTTCATTATCTAGTAACATATTTAAAGATATTCCTACTAATTCTTTTCTATCATTCTTGAACTTCATGTAAGCTTAAATATAACATTCTTCATTTTAGTTACACAGTTTTTATATTTTTCAGAAACAGGCACAAAGTTACCAAACTCAACTAAATGGTAAAAAACAATGCTTAGAAGACAGCAGCTCTGAAATTCCTCATTTGATATGTGACCCAGATACCAATTGTGAAATCAGTGAAAGAGATGAGTTCATTATTGAAAAACTAAAATCAGCTGTGAGTGAAATAGCACTAAGCAGGAATAAATTACAAGATGAAAATCAGAAGCTCTTGCAAGAACTGAGAATGTACCAAAGACAGTGCAAGGTGAAGATTAATTTTTTGTTTTTCAACTTGTATTGTCCATGACTTGTTATAAATGGTAACTCAACAGATGTAGGTATTAGAATGGCAGTTTTCTATCATTAATACATGTGAAGATTCTGTTCATATTTCTTAGTAATTTGCACTTAATGAGTAGATTCAATAATTCGATAAGTATTTCCCACAGTTCGAGTGCACTTTGGTTTCACAGTGGCATAATAATAATGTATTTTCAGTGCAATACAACAGTGGTCACTTACAGACCTCTATGCCTTTAGCCATATACCACCCTCTTCCCCCACTATTTTCTCTGACCCTATGTCTCTTTGACTCAGAAGAATCCTGAGTTAAAGATACAGGAAATCATGAAGGGTTCAACAATCTAGTAACCTCAGCGAGCGCTATGGAGGTGACTCTAGTGATTTATCACTGGTAACCTTATCATAATCATATATCAAACAGTAACCTAGAATTTATTTTTAGGTAACTTTCACATTGGCAAATATGATTGATGGTTTAACAAGCATTAATTTTTTTCATAACCCAATAATGCTCTTTTCTTTTTTGTCTATTTCTTGCAGTCATTAGAAAGGTTATACAGCATTCATCAAAATTGGTCATTACCAATTTCTTTACAAAATATGTATATCTTATTCATTAGTACTTGAGACATTCTTTTATCTCCCGTTTTAGGTTTTTTCTCCCACCTCCAAATATTCAGCCTCTTTTTACCACTTCCTCCATGACAGTTGGCCCATCTCTTTTCCCCACTCAACTAACTCCTCTTCCTAACATACATCATTGAGGTGAGATCACTGCCTGAGAACTTCCATTTCTTTTTGCTGAGATACACCTACTCCAGGATCTTTTGCCACTTAAACTCCCAGGGTCATTTCTTAATCCTGGACCAACTCCTCATCCCCCGACCCTGCCACATTATATTTGGGATTATATATAGAGTTAGTCCTTTAACTTCTTTCTCTGCCAGCATCTACTGTTCTATGTTCCTCTTTCTCCATGTTCGGGAAGGGACAGAACACAAGGCTCCAGTCTTTCCTATTTAGAGGTGATTCTAAGACATGCATATATCCCACCTCAAACTCCAGTTTTAAGGAGGGAAGTCTTATTCTAATACAAGTTAGAATACAGAAGTAAAGCAACAAAGCAAGCTAAACTGCAAACACTAAAGGCAGAGAAAGCGAGACATTGTCTCGAAATAGAAAAGATGTTGATGGTGTTTTCTCTCCCTTCATTCTAATTTAAATGAGGTTAGCACTCATTCTTCTGCTCTAGGGGGTGCCTAGAGGCTTTAAGTGTTTACATCATCCCTCCTCTGACTGTCTGAGCTGTGTTTGCAGGACTGCCAATTGTGCAGTGATGGGGTCTTTCCTTCTCAGAGGCTGCTGCCTTTTGCTTCCCTGGCTATATGACAACTGATCATGCCTTCAATTTAAAGGCAACCTAAACTTAAATTTTGTAGCTGTCTTTGTACTGCTGGAATCTGCATCAGAATCACATTCAGTAAATAAGAAAATTGTTTTTCTTGGTACTTCCCAAGTATTCTCCTCTAGGCTTTAGGTCATCCAGTGCAAACTAAAGCATTCTCTGCTTTGTCCCTTCTTTTGACAGGGGAAAAGGTTGTGGTTGGTTACATGAATAAGTTCTTTACTGGTGATTTCTCAGATTTTGGTGCACCCATCACCTGAACAGTGTACACTGTACCCAATTGTAGTATTTTATCCATCACCCCCCAATCCTTTCCCCTGAGTCCTCCAACATCATTCTTATGCCTTTGCATCCTAATAGCTTAGCTCCCACTTATGAGTGAGAACATAAGTAGGAGACATAACCAAATGATGTTTGGTTTTCCATTTCTGAGTTACTTCACTTAGAATAATGGTTATCTTTAATTCCATCCAGCTTGCTGCAAATGCCATTATTTTGTTTCTTTCTATGGCTGTGTAGTATTCCATGATAAGTATATGCCATATTTTCTTTATCCACTCATTGAATGATGGACATTTGGGCTGGTTCCATATTTTTGCAATTGCTGCTATAAATATGTGTGTGCAAGTATCTTTTTCATATAATGACCTCTTTTCCAATGGGTGAATACCTAGTAGTTAGATTGCTGGATAGACCTACTTTTAGTTCTTTAAGGAATGTCCACACTGTTTTCCATATGGTTGTACTAGTTGACATTCCTACCAGCAGGTAAAAGTGTTCCCTTTTTACCACATCCACACTCACATCTATTATTTTTTTTTTGGATTTTTTTATTATGGCCATTCTTGCAGGAGTAAGGAAGTATTGCATTGTGGTTTTGATTTGCATTTCCCTGATAATTAGTGATGTTGAGCATTTTTTCATGTTTGTTGGCCATTTGTGTATCTTCTTTTGAGAATTGTCTATTCATGTCCTTAGCCCACTTTTTGATGGGATTGTTTTTTCTTCCTGATTTGTTTGAGTTCCTTATAGATCCTGGATATTAGTCCTTTGTCAGATGTATAATTTGTGAAGATTTTTTCCCACTCTGTGGGTTATGTGTTTACTCTACTATTTATTTTGATGTGTAGAAGCTTTTTAGTTTAATTAGGTCCCATCTATTTATCTTTGTTTTGTTGCATTTGCTTTTGTGTTCTTGGTTATGAAGTCTGCCTATGCCAATGTCTAGAAGGGTTTTTCAAGTGTTATTTTCTAGAATCTTTATGGTTTCAGGTCTTAGATTTAAGTCTTGATCCATCCTGAGTTGATTTTTGCATAAGGTGAGAGATGAGGATCCAGTTTCATTCCTCTCCATGTGGCTTACCAATTATTCCAGCACCATTTGTTGAACAGGGTGTTCTTTCCAGACATTATGTTTTTGTTTGCTTTGTCAAAGATTGGCAGTATTTGGCTTTCTTTCTGGGTTCTCTATTGTGTTCCATTGGTCCATGTGCCTATTTTTATACCAGTACCATGCTGCTTTGGTGACCATGGTCTTATAGGGTGTTTGGTAATTTGATGCCTCCAGATTTGTTCTTTTTGCTTAGTCTTGCTTTAGCTATGCAGGCTCTTTTTTGGTTCCCTATGAATTTTAGGAGTTTTTTTTCTAATTCAGTGAAGAATTATGGTGGTATTTTTATGGGAATTACATTGAATTTGAAGATTGATTTTGGCAGTGCGTCATTTTTACAATATTGATTCTACCCATCCATGAGCATGGGATGTGTTTCCGTTTGTGTCATGTGATTACTTTCAGTAGGGTTTTGTAGTTTTCCTTGCAGAGGTCTTTCACCTCTTTGGGTAGGTATATTCCTAAGCATTTCTTTTGTTTTTTTTTTTTTTTTTTTTTTTGAGGCTTTAGTTGATTCTCAGCTCAGTCACTGTTGATATATAGCAATACTACTGATTCGTGTGCACTGATTTTGTATCCTGAAACTTTACTGAATTTATTTATCAGTTCTAGGAGCTTTCTGGATGAATCTTTAGGGTTTTCTAGGTATACAATCATGTCATTGGTCAACAGAGACAGTTTGACTTCCTTTTTACCAATTTGGATGCCCTTTATTTCTTTCTCTTGTCTGATTGCTCTGGCTAGGAATTTCAGTACTGGGTGGAATAGAAGTGCTGAGAGTGGGCATCCTTGTCTTCTTCCAGTTCTCAGGGAGAATGCTTTCAACTTTTCCCCATTCAGTATAATGTTGACTGTGGGTTTGTCATAGATGGCTTTTTTCCTTAAGGTACATTTCCTCCATGCCAATTTTGCTGAGGATTTTAATCCTAAAGGGATGCTACATGTTCTTAAATGCTTTTTCTGTGTCTATTGAGATGATCATGTGATTTTTGTTTTTAATTCTGTTTATGTGGTATATTGCATTTATTGACTTGTATGTTAAACCATCCCTGCATCCCTCATATGAAACCCACTTGATCATGGTGGATTATCTTTGTGATTCAGTTAGCTAGTATTTTGTATAGAGTTTTTGCATCTATGTTCATCAGGAATATTGGTCTAGTTTTCTTTTTCTCTTACATCCCTTCCTGGTTTTGATATTAGGGTGATACTGGATTTATAGCATGATTGAGGAGTGGATTCCCTCTTTATCTTTTAGAATGGTGTCAATAGACTGATACCAATTCTTCTTTGAATGTTTGGTAGAATTTAACTGTGAATCTATCTGGTCCTAGACTTTTTTTGTTGGCAATTTTCATATTACCATTTTTTTCTTTTCTTTTTTTTTTTTGGACAGTGTCTCACTCTGTTGCCCAGGCTGGAGTACAGTGGCACAATTTTGGCTCACTGCAGCCTCCACCCCCCAGGTTCAAGTGATTCTACTGCTTCACCCTCCTGAGTAGCTGGGATTACAGGCACCCACTACCACACATGGCTAATTTTTGTATTTTTTAGTAGAGACGGGGTTTCCCCATGTTGGCCAGACTTGTCTCAAACTCCTGATCTCAAATGATCTGCCCGCCTTGGCCTGCAAAAGCACTGGGATTCAGGCATGAGCCACTACACTCAGCCTTTTTACCATTTCAATCTCCTTGCTTGCTATTGATCTGTTCGGAGTTTCTGTTTCTTCCTGATTTAATCTAGGAGGGTTGTATATTTCCAGGAATTTATCCACCTTCTCTAGGTTTTCTAGTTTGTGCATGTAAAGGTGTTCATAGTAGCCTTGAATGTTCTTTTGTATTTTAGTAGTCAGTTGGAATATCTCCTGCTTCATTTCTATTTGAGCTTATTTGGATCTTCTCTCTTCTTTTCTTGGTTAATCTTGCTAATGGTCTATCAATTTTATTTACCTTTTCTTTTTTTTTTTTTTTTTTTTGAGATGGAGTTTAGCTCTTATTGCCCAGACTGGAGGGCAATGGCATGATCTCACCTCACTGCAACCTCCACCTCCTGGGTTCAAGTGATTCTCCTGTCTCAGCCTTCTGAGTAGCTGGGATTATGGGCATGTGCCACCATGCCTGGCTAATTTTGTATTTTTAGTAGAGACAGGGTCTCTCCATGCTGATCA